GCATGTACAGAGCACATGGCAAACTCCATCCTTGTCAGTATCAATAGTTTAACCACTTCATCTACATCACTCCGATCTATAGACTCAATCATTCACATCCCTCACAAATGACTTGTCTAAATGTTACAACATCTGGGGTTAAATTCTGCCATGATCCTATCCCACTTTTATTGATTTGCTCTGTGACAACCGTACTGGTTAAACCCTCTGAGATACAGGAAGAGAAAAATATGAATTAATTATCACCGACCTGAATCACTGGGAACAAAACCCTCTGAGATACAGGAGTGAGGAGAGAAAAATGATGAATTAATTAGTCAGAAAACTGGCCACAAAGACATTGTTTTATCACTGGGAAGCAAAACATTATGCTTGTACATCTTCTGACCTTCCATAGCAGACACCCTTTTCACTTGACACAGTGAACATGACTGATGGTGGGAATCAAATGGTGAATGGATTCATCAACAATAAGTACATATATTAATGAATAGGTACCAGCCAAGGCTCCCCAGGACAAATTTTAACATGAAGAGATGAAGGGATTAAGGTTTTATTTCCCTCTCAGTCCTTCTTTTTAAGTAAAAGATGCTTTTCGCTCTTATATAACAAAAGCAGATGAAGCCAATAATCAGCCATAATGAACCCGATTCTAATACCAATGCCGTACCTAATGATATTATCAGTGAGTGAGTGAGTGAGAGAGTGAGTGAGTGAGTATGGTTTTACGCCGCTTTTAGCAATATTCCAGCAATATCACAGCGGGATACACCAGAAATGGGCTTCACGCATTGTGCCCATGTGGGGAATCGAACCCGGGTCTTCAGCGTGACGAGCCAACACTTTAACCATCAGGCTACCCCACCGCCCCTAATGATATTATCAGATACATGTATACATCAAGTCATTTTACAGTTGAGTACATGATGATAGCAGAAAATAATATATCTGTCTGTTTGAATGGATAGATATACAAAATATTTTCATACAAAAGTTACATCTCGTTTTTACAAACTGGTTCACTGAGTTAACACTTTAATGCTAAACTGTACAATGTCTTGTCAGAGGCAGTAAATTTTGAATAACACTGACATCACTGTTTATACAACAGTTTATCATCCCAGTCGTCAAACCATGTGGTGATCGGAGACCAGGTAAAAACTGAAACGGAATTTCCACATGGGATAGGCCTAGACATTATCTCACTATCACACTCCTTATCAAACAACTATTACATTTTCATGACCTATCATAGGTGCAGAGTAACCCCATGTGTTGGACAAGACTGATATGTTTATCATCATCCACATGTGCACATCATGACAATTCAGACATAACGATATGGATGACTTCACACATGGTCCATATTCACTTCACTGAACCAGCTGTGACTGATGAAAACTACTTCCCTAAAACATAATGTGATATACAAACATGACAGAATTCAACAGAATATGTGTTGAAACAATCTAAGAAATACTAATCATTATGTGGCTCGTTACGTGTCCCTAATACTCACTCCTTCACAACTAATTAATATGATATATTATTCATGACTGTCAAACACAGCAAACTTTCACCGGACCTTAAATACAAAACCATTCAGATATATATATTTTCCTATGTTTCTGACAAGCTATAGACACCATGTCTGGTTATATTGTTTCCCTTGTCCGATATTGGATCAATCTAGTTGATACGAGAACTGATTAAACCTATTACGGAAGCAGAAATGGTACATACACACATTCATCATCACAAACCACAGTTCCATGCTACACTGAAACTAATCTCTGTATAAGCATACCAAATTCACTCAAATCCATTCTAATCTACCATAACACTCCACTTCAGATAATGGCTATCTGTAACTAAGTGAGTCTGTTGACCTAAAAACCTAAAACAGTAAACATACAATGGTTATTCCAGCGCCATTCTTACCATAGTGTGCTTGTATCACAGTCAGTCAACAACCAAGTGGCACAGTGTGATACATCCCTTGTGAGAGACAACCTGTTACTACACACTGATAATCCAGACGTGTGTTACGGCAGTTAGTCCACAGTCAACTGATGTATGCTATACCTCCTAGTGTCATCAAGCCACGGCTGATAGATGCAGCATATCATTACTCGTAAGAAGGTAAAATCAGGTCACCAATGACATCACAGGTCACAGTCAGCTTCCAATCAATTTCTTGATGTCTATAAGATAACTGTTTGAATTAAATTTATACTCCAAAGCACAAATGAAGCATCCACTGTCAGATGTACTGTGTTATGTCCCAGTAACTACACGGGATAACATTCTGTCATTGTCAATATGTGCATACAGCACCAACCTCAGAAAATCAATATTGAATAATTTATCATAGGAAATCACTTAGCGTACACTGCAATAGCAACGTATGTTGCACTAGAGGACGATGAAATCAACGTCTGCCCAGTGTATATATTATCCGAAAACATTTATTTACACTGTTAAACATGGCTTTCATGCCAATCCCACCATGTCAAGACAGTGATGATAGACTCATTATATATTAACCAAGAAAGCGAGGGATACGGACAACAATGCTTCTGCCCATCAAACCCGTTGCCTAGCAACCAATCAATTCCTGGTCTTCAGATATGGATTGTAGCTTTAAGTGATTGGAAAGTGAACACTTTATGCATCATTTGAATTGCTGAATGTATAAGGAAATGAGATCACTGAAGAGTGATCTAATTGTGTCATCAGGTACTGTAGGGGCTGAGTGTAGGTCAGCCTCTGACACAGTGTGATACAAGATAATGTGAAGGGTATAGCACAGGCATGGCAATCAGCGTGTGAATCTAACCAAGGTGATCGTTAACAATCAATCCAGGTATTCAAGCTTGAAACGGGAAATGTTGTCAAATATGTCGACAGAAAATGTCCCTTTGTAAATGGCCATTTGTGGGAGTTATTTTTCCACATTCGTTTGATTACACCCACATATTACAGCCAGATTATAGTCAGTAGGTTCAAAGGGTTCACTCTAATAGAAATACTGTCGGGAAGGTAAACCTGCACAGGTCAAACACATTTCCATCAAGTCTGGACCAAACAATCCAGTGATCAACATCATCTATTTGACATGGACCTTAAGGTTTATATATTAGAACCAACTAGAGAGAAAATATAACAAGTGATTTGTTAAACTGAGTCCCGTCTCTTGGTATAGCATGTAGTTAGTGAGTGAGTGAGTTTAGTTTTACGTGCACTCAGCAATATTCAAGCAATATGGCGGCGGTCTGTAAATAATCGAGTCTGGACCAGACAATCCAGTGATCAACAGCATGAGCATCGATCTACACAATTGGGATACAAAGACGTGTCAACCAAGTCAGCCTCTCTATGACAAGCATGGGTTGAAGACTAATTCTAACCCGCATCTTCACGGATTTCAGGTAAATTAAGGTACACTACAAGTTAAACTAACATAAGTTCATACTTTTTATGTTCTGATTAATATAAGCCAAATGTATCAGACAATTACTCATCACAATAACAATATTATTTATGATTGCTTTTTTAATAAATTAATATTGCCATGATGCATCTGTTCAGGCCTTTTGTTAACATTGGCACATACAGAATCAGTACATTTGACCTCATTCAGTCCATTTTATTGTAAAATACAAAATTAGGAGCAAGACTTTCAAAGCTTCATGTGATGAAGTAATTCAACAAAATTACACATGGAATAAATGTGTACATGACATGCAGAAATTCAGAGTTTTATCAGGAATTATACATCTGAGCAGAATGTTTACTTAATCTGAAATAAATACTAGCTGGTCTATCAACATAAAGCAGCTGCTTGCACTCTTCGCAGGAGAGACTTGTTCTTTCAACATCTTCGGTAAACTACTGGAAGAGAGAAACAATATGTCTTGGAAAACACAGAATGGTATGTAGTATGTCTTGTCCAACATGCTTCATGACTTTGAGAAAATCATAGCTGATTAAATTATATTTCTGTTATAGGCGCCGCCAACCACTTAGAATTTTCAGATGAATGAGAAAATACACTACCTTTATCATCACAGCGGTGTTTGAATTAGTCAGGATTCAAAATTTATGGTTCAAATAAACAATATTCAGATCCAAATACTTAATATATTTATCATCAAAAGAAATGGAAACTAAGGACTTGGCTTGTAAACAACCTGAGGAGAGCAGTCAGATGTCTTACAGTAAAAAGCAAAAATGCTTCAGAAAGCTAACATTAGATTGGCGAAAGCCCAGCACTTCTTCCTTTTAACTTTACAGTCAAAAGGTTCAGCATTTACTTTTCATGAGCTATTAGTCAGAAAGTTATCAACTTTTTATAAGATCAATGAAATTCTATATGAAATGGTAGTCAGTGATATTAAAAAGCCTTATATCGCAGCCTGTAAATATCTGAATATTTGAATCTCGGTCTTGCAAATCAGAGGTAATAGCAGTGTTCCCATTGGCCACATATGATACCCCATACTTGGTATATGACCAGTTGTTACCAGCCAAATATCATAAAACCAACATTTAGATGCTCCAATCTCCAGTGATGTTCTTGTTGAGACTTGCCTTTCTTTAAAATCATACCTCCATGAATAGAAAAACAAAACACTCCTTCAGGTCTGTTCATGGTGCAATCTAGTTTAATGTCTCATTTAAGTTTATTGCATTTTTATTGGAATGTACATGTACGGTGCTTGCGTCCGTAGTAGAGCGAGTGATTGAGCTTAGAGTTACGCCGCTTTTAGCAATATTTCAGCAATATCACGGCAGGCGACACCAGAAATTGGTTTCACACATTGTAACCATGTGGGGAATCGATCCCCGGGCCTTCGTCGTGATGAGTGAACATTTTAACCACTAGATACCCAACCGCTCCTATCTGTAGTTGAGCCTGATGCCGGTTTTATAGTGCAGCCCACTGAGATACCATTCCCAATTTAACACGGACACCCTACTCAGACACTGTATGCACTCTTTTTAGCCGACCAGTCTTTGTGTTATCCCCTTAAGGCCTAGCACCAGGCAGATAAACAACAAGTACCACCTTGCCATGATTCAAACCATCGACCTCACTCTCCTCAAACATGCTCAGACTAGTTTTTAAGACCTCATTAACATGACTGACAAAACCTATTTCGTTGCCTCAGGCTTCCACAATAATCATATCGATCATAATACATATTTGCATGTTTACAATCTTTTTTTAAAAGACATGTCCTTGAGCCATGGTTTCATGACAAGTAATTTTCATAAAATTATCATGATTGCTTAAACCTATATTCCTTTCACTTTAATGGGACAATTCCCCAGCCATACATGTTCCATCATCTTACAGGACAATAAATCGAAAATCAAAACAGTATAAAAAACGAAAGTGAGCGAGTGAGTTTAGTTTTATGCCGCACTCAACAATATTCCAGCCTTACGGCGACGGTCTGTAAATATTCAAGTCAGACAATCCAGTGATCAACAGCATGTGCATCGATCCACGCAATTGTGATACAATGACATGTGTCAACCAACTCAGCGAGTCTGACCACCCGATCCTGCCTCTTATGACAAGCATGGGTGACTGAAATTCTGGATCTTCACAGGTTGAAAAAAGAAAGAAAACCAAGGCATAAAATGTACATTCTTCTGTGCCTCACACATAATTTGGGAGGATTTTGGTTTAGAATCGGCCGTATGCTTGTCAAACAACTGAATTGTTTGCTGCACATCATCATATCTGAAAGACATGGGATGGTGTTCATAATATCCACCACTGGTATTACTGGTCCAGCACTTAATTATTTAGATACTGCTGCCATGTAGCTGGATCATATAGTTGAGTGTTTCATTAAAGACTCTTACATTTTGTCCACCTTGTGGTTAAAGCGTCCGCTCATCACGCCGAAGATCCAAGTTGATTCCCCACATGGGTACAATGTGTGAAGCCCATTTCTAGTGTTCCCGCTGTGATATTGATGAAATATTGCTAAAAGCAGCGTAAAACCAAACTCACTTAAATTTTCATCGCATTTGTAAATTAACCTCAAAAGTTAAATTTCATAAAAATTACATAATAAAATTTGCATGTGTCTTCATTTATCTCTTACGGTTGTGTTACCCAACATCTATATACAGTGGGCTGTTGACAGGTGTTAACTGGGACATCTAAATGTAAATGTTGTGGTATTTATATACTGAGGGAAACAAATAAGGGAACACCACTTCAAGGCAGTGTTATTATTCTCAGACTTCCTCCCTCAGCGCTATTCAAAGCTGGTGATGAAAACTGGAAAATATTAAATGAACACTTGAATTTTACTGGGTTCCTGTATTTGTTTCCATCAGAATATTTTGCATCTACACAAACTGACAAAACCTTAAGTCCCGTGTGTCATGACAAACATCCATAGAATAAAAGAAAGGAATCGTGTAAAGCAGACAGTGTTTGCTCCTCAAATTACTCAGCTGTGTAGCAAATTATGGGATCACTTGCCCATGGCAAGGAGCCAATACAAATCTGCCAGTGTCAAGCTTGGGGAGGGCACATCCTCATTATCTCAACCGTAGGTGTTAACCTTTTAAAGGTTCACTTACATTGTCTGCAGTTATTACACAAGGCTGCAGATGAACGCATGGTTGAGTGGGCTGTTGACAGGTGTTAACTGGTACATCTTAATGTAAATGTTGTAGTATCTATTGCCTGTCTCTTTCATATACTGTTTGCTGCATCAGTTGTATGTACAGTTGAGCTGTACCAATAGAATCTGTTGGACATGATATTCACAGTGAAGTTGAGTGAGTATGGTTTTACGCCGCTTTTAGCAATATGCCAGCAATATCACTGCAGAGAACACTAGGAGTGGGCTTCACACATTGTACCCATTTGGGGAATAGAACCAGGGTTTTCGGAGTGATAAGCAAAGGCTTCAACCACTAGGCTACCCCACCGATCCAGTGAGGTTAAGGTATACACTCACAAAATAATTATGGTTTCATAATCCATCTTCAAAATGAATGACTGAGGCAGCCAAATCATTCTCAGTAAAAAGAAGCGAGTTGAGTTTTTGGACTGATTTTAGCAATGTTTCATAAGTAAGTGAGTGAGTGAGTGAGTTGGGTTTTACGCGACTTTTTAGCAATATTCCAACAATATCACGGCGGGGGACACAAGAAATGGGCTTCACTTATTGGACCCATGTGGAGAATCGAACTGGGGACTTCGGCGTGACAAGCAGACGCATTAACCAGTGGGACGCACGCACGCACACTCAGTGTTAACTAGG